CTCCTACTCTCTCTCTCTCTCTCTCTCTCTCTCTCTCTCTCTCTCTCTCTCTGACACACACACACACACACACACACACACACACACACACACACACACACGAAATAACCAAAAAAAAAAGTGCTGCTCCTAACGAGTCAGAGAAAGTTAAAAAACACTTCCAGGGCGAGTTTGGACAAAACTCTTCCACAGACATGCGTAGCAAACATGACAACAAACCTGGATGAAGAGTTAGAGAAGATGGACATGGCCCCTGTGCAGGGAAGACACGCACAAATCGAGAAAGAGAGATAGGGTAGAGGAACAGACGTAACCTGCAATATCTGCAGGTAGTTCCCATGCAATCGCTTGGCATAAGACTACCCTACATGAATTTGACCACGGTTACAGGCAGACCTGCAGGTATTTGACTGCAATAACGTCCACAATCAGTCAAAAAAGTCCACGTGAGTATGCCCCCCGTGTACTTTCTGCTTGGTATGGCACAGCTCTCTTGCTCACGCAAATCAACAAATTAAACAGTTAGCTCCATCACTGGCTACTGTCTTCACCCCAATAGAACACCCGCCCATTAGAGCTGTATTTGGTACAATTTTCAGTCTAGATACCCGCGATAACGACCGGGCAGGTAGCATCAGCATAGGTTCACATCTGCAGGTGCGGGTGGGTCAAGCAGATGGGTTCTCTTCACCAGCTCAGCCGTCTTTCCTATATGAGCCTCCTAAGTTCTTAACGTTATTTATGTATTTAATTATTTATTTATTTATTTATTTATTTATAACTAAGTTATATTCTTCTCTCAATTTAGTAGCGTCGTTTTTCTTTCTTTTTCTTTCTTTTCCTTTCTTTTTCTTTCTTTTTCTTTCTTTCTTTTTCTAAGAGGGTAGACCCTGACATCACTGTGCACACCTGATTCCAGAAGGATTAGAACTCCTGATGTTTTCACTACGGGTTACGTCTGTACACCACTAAGCCACATGCGCTAGGTCACAAGGCCAACTCATCTGGCACTCACTCACTCACTCACTCACTGCAAGAGACGGGGCATGGCACACCATAGAGAGCGAGGAATGGGAAGGCAGAGGTGATTTCCTTCAACACGACTCGACATAACGACAGGCAAAGCATGATCTTTTTGATGGAAAAACAAGAAGCCGCAGAAGGCAGTTCAGCAGAGGACGAAGTCAGTCCTCTCGGCTGTCTGAAATATAGCCGCAGTTCCACTGTAGCTGGGTGGATCATTCGGAAATCGGGGAAAAGGGAGCACACGGAGAGAGAGAGAGAGAGAGAGAGAGAGAGAGAGAGAGAGAGAGAGAGAGAGAGAGAGAGAGAGAGAGAGAGAGAGAGAGANGAGAGAGAGAGAGAGAGAGAGAGAGAGAGAGAGAGAGAGAGAGAGAGAGAGAGAGAGAGAGAGAGAGAGAGAGAAGGACGAGGAGGAAGAGGGCGAAACAGACGAGCGAGTAAGGATGAGGAGAATAAGAACGAATAGGAGTACGAGGAGGACAACGAGGACAAAGACGGGGAGGAGGGGGAGAAAGGAAGGAGTACGAGGAGGGCAAGGAGAGGAAGAAGTAGACTATGGAGAAGTGGGAGAAGACGAGGATGACAAAGAAAGGGAGGAGGACGGGAAGGAGGACAACGGGGACAAAGAAGGGGAGGACGCCGAGAAGACGGATGGCGCGGATAGCGAGGACAAAGAAGGGGAGGAGGACGAGAAGAGCGGGAGCAGCAGCAGCAGCCGCAGCAGGAGGAGAAGGAGGAGGAGGAGGAGGAGGAGGAGACGACTACTACCGGGGTAGTAGGGAAAAGTGGAAGAGAACGCCAAGCCCGACGAAGAACAGGGAAGAAAGGGAGGACCAGGATTGAAAGAGGATTGAAAGAGGATTGAAAGAGGATTGAAAGAGGATTAAGAAACGGAGGAGAGAACAACACGAAGGGGACAAGGGTAAGCTGCAGGAGCCGGAAGTCGGAGGAAAAAAAGGGAGAAGAAGGAAGAAGGGCGGTATTGTTACAATAAGTTCTTCACGCAACAACTTCAAGAAAAGGGGTCGCCACTTTTCTTAAATCTGAATTTCAAATCTCGGTCGAATTTCAAAACTGTGGCCACACTGCGCACGAGCAAGAGTGATTGCACGCACGCGTAGGCGAGGGTGTTTGCGTAGTAGAAATTGGCGTTGCCCGTGCCGCGCCATATCCACAGATCGTACATGACTGGCCCAAGCACAGCCACGTACAGATAGACGTTCCATATCAAGTACAGAAACCGCATTCCCTTCAGCTGGGTAACGAAGAGGGGCAAAAAACTCAAGTACAGAGCGGCATCCCCCAACGAGGGATACGACTTCATGATGACCGCGGTGCTGATGTAAACGTACGCTAGGAAGACGGGACGATGATGGAGACGAATCGCCGTGGGCAAAATGAGCACAACGATCGTCGCATGGAAAACGAACAAGAAAAAAGTGCGGAAGAAGTCAAACATCTCGCTGAAAAAATACCAAAACAGACCTAGATTCGGCGACAGATCATCGACGGCTATAACGAATCCGTACGTTTCCGATACCATCTGCCCCAACCGACCCACCATTCCTCCTCCTCCTCCTCCTCCTCCTCCTCCTCCTCCTCCTGCTGCTATTGGATAACCCCTCATGCCTCCCCCCCCCGTTAGAACGACGTCGCAGAGGCAAAGCACGCAAGCCCACCATAACGCGGTCCACGTCAGACTTTCCAGAATCACCCGCCAGAGCGACACGTGTTCACCGATCTTATGGCATTCAGACTTCTTCTTCGTCGTCGTCAAGAAAGGAGGAGAGGAAGGAGCCTCCCTCTCGTCTCTCTTCGCGCAGACTCTTCGCTGCTGCTCCACCCCCTTTTTCTTACGATCAGGGCCAATGACTACCCCTCCTTCCGCCTGTCCTCCGCACTCCTCGCTCCGACAAGTCTCCGCTACCTTCCGCCTGTCCTCCGCTCGCTCTCCGGCGCTTCCTTCCCCTGACAAAGGAATTGGGGGTGGGGGGGGCTCTCCTAGCGAATCCGGATCGGGGGGGCAGTGGCCCCTACCGTCACTGCTCCTGCCTCTTCCGCCCGGGGACAAAGCACCTCCCTCCTCCTCTTCTCCTCCTGTGGGCTGCTCCTCGCTGCTCAACGTTTTCCCACTCTCCGCGTCACCCTCTGGCAGTGAACGAACATCGCCGCGAGCTTCTGCTGCCTCCCCGGCCCGCTCAGCGACGGCCTCTGGACCCCCTCCGTCGTCCGTATGCTTGCTGATGTCCGACAACAACAAGGGAGAGAAGGGAGGGGAGAAGGAGGCCGCCGGCCTCTGGACCTCCTCCGTCGCCCCCGTTGATCTCCGTCCCGACGAAGACACAGACTTGTCTAATGGTGTCCCGGCAGCAGATGTCAACGGGGACCGACAGCAGTCGACTGCGTGAAGGGGGTGGATGGATTGATTCTCTTCCCCTTCTCCTCCTCCTCCTCCTTTTATGGGCTTCTTGGTGCCGACATCCACGTCTCCTCCTCCTCCTCCTCCTCCTCCTCCTCCTCCTTTAATTGGAGTCTTCTTGGTGCCGACATCTTCTACCTCTCTCGAGGATGGAAAGAGAAGCATCAGCTTGAGCGTCTTTGCAGGAGGGCCATCCGGGCCGTACATCAGCAAGCATACGATCGGGATGATCAACACGAAGTGATACAGAGAGATGTGAGACGCTACGACCCAACCGAACGTAGCCAGGGGTGCATTACCCCTCAGCGCGCCGTAAACCGAGAGGAAGACGAAGAAATGATCGAAAGGGGAGGTTGAGCTCCCGATCCCGACTGCGATGGAGAATGGATTGAGCAGATAAAGCATCGGGACCAGCTCAGACGATGATGATGGAGAAGTAGAAGAACAACCAGACGCAGAGGAAGAGAGCTTGTCTTGCTTGGGTTCCTCCGGCCGCCGCCGCCTCCTCGCCCGATTGTCCTGCCCGGCGGCCATAGATTCCCATCGACAGAGAAAGACGGCTTCTCCCCTGCGGAAGAAGCGAACAGCTATGGCGTGGAGAAGGATAGCCGAAGCGATGTCGGCAACCAGAAAGGGTAGGGCTTCGAGAAGAGAGCTCGATCCGTGAGGTCCATGCTCGGCCCTCCGCGAGCTCTGCTCCGCAATACGCCCCAGCAGAGGTAGAAGAAGCGGTGAGCTGTGATAAGCAGAACCCGCATACGGCGACATCCCCACCCGCCATAGCCAATGCCCTTCCGCCAATCGCTTTATGCTTGTCAAAGGCGTTGCCACCTCGATCCGCCGGCTTAGAGTCGCACCCACCCCCGTCCATATAAGCACCACCCTTATTAACACCGCCAGAACCATCATCCCTCTTGCCATTGACGACTTCATCTCTCTCTCTCTCTCTCTCTCTCTCTCTCTCTCTCTCTCTCTCTCTCTCTCTCTCTCTCTCTGTGTGTGTGTGTGTGTGTGTGTGCGTTATTAAAGACTAGATTACCTCTTGCAGCTACGCCCGCAAAAAAGAAACAGAGTTTTGCAAATGAAAGAAGAGAGCTCATCAGGAGGTTGAACCACGACAGTCTGACCAGGATGCATTTGACTGATGGACAAGGGCTCGCACCGTCACCCGTAGTAGCGATACCCCCGAGAAAAGGGTTGACTTTTCTCGCATCAACCCTCTGTGTGTGTGTGTGTGTGTGTGTGTGTGTGTGTGTGTGTGTGTGTGTGTGTGTGTGTGTGTGTGTGTGTGT